GTTACAAACTGTAACTACATACCTGTCACAGAGCTATAAGCTTTATTATTCCTTTGGATAAAGACAATTAACAAACACAAATGGCTACCCCAATTACCAGGTGAATTTAACATAAACCATGTGTGACAAATGGTCCTGTCAAGTCCTCTTACTTGCGAGCTTACTTATCCTTTATCTTAAGAACGTGTATGTAATGTGTTCTATCTGCTGGCTGTAAAAAAAGGTGAGATCTCCTTCTGTCTTTACAATCTCTTTAACAGGTTGCCTGTGATGTGCATCACATTCTAGTTTAATGCTGATTTAATACTAAAACTATTTTCTCTTCTACTTTTGTGGAGAAATTTTTTGGGTTGGCAGGAGATTGTATTTTTAATTATATTTTCCTAACAAGAGCAACCAATTAAAAAAATTAAGACAAAAAGGAATGCTTAAAAGGTCAAGAGAGGAGCTACAATAAAATCCTAAAACATGTAATACAGGAAAGAAGAAGCAGAGAAACAAAAGAACAGATAGGACAGAGAAAAAACAATACCAAGACGGTAGGCTTAAACTCATCCATATGAATAATCACTGTAAATAGAATAAAATCTTCCGCTGTAAGCCAGAAATCATCAAAATGGTTAAGAAAGCAAGACCAAAGTATATGCTGTTTACAAGAAACACACTAGAAATATAAAGACATAGAGTAAAAGGCTGAGAGTACAAGAATCAAAGAAGATATTCCATGCAAGTTGTAAGAACCAGAAGGTTGATATGACTACATTAAGACTAGGCAAAGTAGATTTCAAGATAAAGAATATAATTAGAGATAAAGCAATACCTTCCATAGTGATAAAAAGGTCAATTCATCAGGAAGACACAATAATCCTACATGTGATCTACCTCATAACAAAGTTTCAAAATACATGAAGCAAAAAGAGAAAGAATTAAAGAGAGAAATAGACAAAGCCAGTTAGTTGGAGATTTTAACATACCTCTCTCAGCAATTAATATAAAAAAGACCCCCCCACAAAAAAAAATTAGTAATTATATAGAGATTTCAACGACACTAAAATAGTGAAACCAAGAAATTTTGCTATGTTAAAGAAGTAAGATTTAATGATATGAACGTTGTTATCTAAAATAAGCCAGGTCTTACTGTATAAATTTTGATATAATCGTGATGGGAATATTGTTGAGGTTCATGAAATCAACCAAAAGTTGGTGAGAGCCCTGGGGTCACAGAAATATAACACAGTCTTCATGCTCTGGGATGTCTTGATGCTGTGAACTCTCTACTAGTGTGACATTATAATATTGGCAACTCTGGTTTTTTTCCTAGTAACCTATGCCAAGCAGTCTCTAAAACAGCCTCTTACCTTTGGTAGAATTTCACCTCTTTGGGTAAGATGTGCAATCACTCTTCAGCCAAATCCAGCAGTTTCTCCAATGTTCCTTTCTGAGCAAGGAGTGAATTTCAGTCCCTTATGAATAAAGTTGCCAGATTTGGCAAATAAAAATACAGGACTCCCAGTTAAATTTGAACTTCAGATAAACAGTGAACGATTTTTCACTACAGGACATACGTATACTAGAAAACTA